TCCTCTCCATTTTTTCCCAACAAGTTCTGTGGACAAAACGAGTGTACCGTGTACATGTGAGAATTATTGACCTACCAAATCCACTGATAAATCTCAAAGCAGTATACATCCATACGTTGGTGGAAAATGCGGTTAAGACTCCACTTATAGACATGAGCAGGCAAGAAAGAAGAAGGATGTTCTTCCGGCCTAAAGAGGAGTCGGCCAGGGTTGCAAGGACAAATGTACCTGCGAGGCAGCCTAAAAAGAAGCTTGACGTCGGGAGGCCGGTGATAATGGAGCCGGAACACTCAAGGGACCACTCCGAGATGACGGATGTGTGAGCGGGCAAATCCCAGTTCCAAGAATCTCTTGGAATTCGGCAGATATTCTTGCACGACGAATTACTGGGTGAACTGCAATGCCATGTTGGCTTAGCATCGGTGAAAACACTTATGAAGCATTGTTGTGCATCGAAAAAATAAGCAAAGGATATAAAAGTGGCCTGGAAGAATTGTATCCACCCCCACTCCCCGATGCACCGTTCAATCGTGTCATCTAAGGATAGCTGTTGTTCCACAATTCTTGGGGACCCAGACTCTGGAGTGTCTCTTTGCAGGGGCAATGGATTTGAATCTGTCATTATTGGTGACTTCTGTACATTTCAGAGAGAAATCAATGTTGAAGCATTTTTTATTTATTGTAACATATTATAATCCGGGGTAACTATTCTTTTTTACCATTAGCTCGTTGGTTATAGGTTCAAAGTTTTTGGTTTTCTATTTTATTTTAATCTTTTAGTATTTAAAAATACTCCACTGATGTACCAAATTTATAAAAAATACTAAAACATGATATTTATACCTTAAAATCAGATTTTTAATAAATTTTGATAAAAGTTGATAAAATGTATAATTGAAAAACTCCGGGGATCCTATAAAATATGTGATAAAAATTAATTGTTGATTTTGACTTATATTAATATCTAAATTTTAATCCCTATCAAATAGGGACTTAATAATTTAATCTAAGATTAATTTGTACACCTACTCTTCCTAAACTCTCTTTAAAAAAAAATGAGAAACGTGACAGGATACTAAACTCTCTATGGGTCTAATATTTCATGAACTTAACAATACTCTCCTATTTATTAAATTTTATAATTGAGAAAAACACATTAGAAAGGAATTCATTATGTAATTAATTTATTATATAATTTCTTGTGTTTTTGAATTGTCATTAATTCCAATTTTACTTTTTTTTTTATTTGTATCTACATTTTTATTTTTACCGTTTACATTATATAAAATTTTCTTTTAAATTACGTTAAATGCATGGCAGGTCACTCAATGTTGAGCAGTGGTGCATGTGAACTACTCACATTCGGGGCGGGAATAACCCGCTTAATCAGGTATTCGGGGCGGGAACGAGGTGACGAATTTTGCCCTGGGGCAGGTTCGGCTCGGGGCAGGGACGAGCCCCGCCCCGCCCCGTTTATTTTTTATTTTTTTAATTTTTTTTTTTAGAATTCAATACTTTAAATGGAAAATTTCACGAAATTTCATTAGTTCTAATAGAAAATAGAAACTAAAATTATTTGTCTAAATCTAATGAATATGAGCAATAAAAATAAATTATCAAAAAAAAAAATTTAAATGAGGTAGTAAACGGGACAATGACCCCGCCCCGTTGCCATTCCTAACTGAAAGAACATTTTACATGTAACTATTCATTATTTTTAACGTCGAGGCTAACATATTTTATTTCTTAAACTAACAGTAGTGGACAAATTGACCAGATCTGCAAGTAAATTGAAGTTGGGAGACTTGATTGCATAAAATTGATCATGAGTGACTCAATATGCAATCAAATTGAAGTCGGATGATGTAAATGCATAAAATTGAAGATGAGTGACCTGGATGCACCTCCACTCAAAGTTGAGTGACTCGCTGTGCTTTAAATTCTTCAAAATTACACTAATCAATAACAAATTATGTATTGAAACATTGCTTTTAGTTGGCAAAGTTAACAGAATATTTTTCATGAATAATACATCTTAGGTGTGCTAATTTTAAATATTATAGGATATTACCTTCAAATATGGGTTGTAGGAAATGTCGCTCCGATGATCAGATGCATCTCTGATACTTCGATAACATGAAGAGAGAGCGAGACGCTCTCTCCCGTTTTCCTTGAAGATATTAAAACTATAAATGTAGAGAAAAAAATCTAATGACCAAATACCTTGGATTCATCATCTTTATATAGGAGTTGGACTGCATGTATCTTTGTATATGTGTCGTCATTCATCACCTTTAGTCGTGTCACATTCCTGGACATTGGATCTATGGTATGACGTCCTTGTCTATTTGTAATTTCCTATGTTGGTGTTGTTGCTAGAAGACATAATGGTGACCAAATTGTTATATGGTCTAGAGATTGGTAACCAGTCATGCAATTCTATTTATGGAAAAGTATTAGCGGATTGAGAACTTGTGGTACAATGGTATAATTCTATGTGATATAGACAATAAATTGATACTTATGAGCAACCACGTACGAGTCATATGAAGTGCAAGAATTTATTGGTGGGCCCCTTTGGCCTTTCTCATGCATGCATTAATTATGAAATTCGGGTCGAGCCACTCAGCAATCTTATCATGAGTTTCGACTTGCTCAAAAAGGTAGCGAGCCAGCTCACACAAAAACCAACAAGCTGGTGAGAGAGTTAACTTCCCTTCTCGCTTCTCAACTCGCTAGTGGGATGAGCCACATGTCGACTCGTACTTAACACTTCTATAGTAGGGTAACGTAAGGTAAGGCCTTGGCGAGGTACTTTTGCAAATATTTTGATTTTTTAGGAGTAGCTATGTCACCTCTAGTATATTAACGTTCTCCCTTATTTTTATAAATTTATAAAGGTAGTATTACTTTATGTTCGTGTTCTATTTCTCAAGTAACTTTTGGCGAGCTCCAAGCTCTTGATTAGTCATGTAGTTCAAATGAATTTTTCGTGCACTCGTTCTTAGTTGTGCTTAAAGTATTCAATCCATTCTTTGGAATTTGTAGTAGTGTTATTTTTGCGATAGAGTAAATTCTTAGGAGTGAGATCAAATCCAAATTTCTCCATGAATTATGACCATGATGATGAATCCTTAATCCTATTTCACACTTTTATGTGCCTCATTGATCATGTAGAATGTCTTATGTTGTATAGAAATTGAGCTCTTAACATTCGATCATTTTGGCACGACCTCTATGCAAAATCATTAATGGATTTGACTTGTTCATTTGGGTAAATATTGGTTACGTAGCCTAGCTCAATTGCCTGACTCTAGACTTTAATTAATCACTTTTGAGTTTTGTGAGTAATGCTCGCCCTACTGGGCAAAACAGTCTGAGCCCTTTTTTTTTTGTTGAGTCCTCACCCGAGCCACAATTTTCAACTCACGAGCCAGCTCATTTACATCCCTCTATTATACCATATCTTTGTTCCATTTCTACCAGAATTTTGCCCCACATCTTGTACAAAGATCAGGTTTCCAATTTTTAATGTTAATTTCTTTATTTCATGCAGTGAGTTAGA